TGGTTTTGTCTGTTTCTTATAATCTTTTTGGATCTTCTTGCATCTACTATTGGATTGTATATGACTATTCTTAACTGGTTTTGGACTCATTAGTCTTATTTTCTGGAAATTTCATCTGACTAGTTTTTGTCTGTTTTCTATCACAAACCTTTTACATGTTTAATTTTGACCTTAAGGTTATATGAGATTAAAAAATTGAACACTTTTTGTTGTTTTCTTTGATAGTTTTGCTGGCATTTCTAGCTGTTTTTTAAAATCATATTTGTGTAGTCTGCAGTATAGAGAAGAATCTTGAGAAAACAAGCATTGGAGTGATTGAAGTTTGAGAGTTGATTTTGTATGTTATGAGAAGTTGAAAATGGCATCATCATCTGCTGAAAACAGTCCAGTGCCACTCAGAGTAGCACCCCCAAATTATCATCCATATCCACCTCCATTGGCTACATATGAAAATGTTGTGGCCTCTCCTCAACTTTTTATGGATACTTTGCAGAAGTTCCATGCTGCTATGAGAACCAAGTTCATGTGAGTTTTTTTTTCTTCTTCTTGGCTTATTTGGAACCAATGGTTAATTGGTAAAGTTGCCTCCATGTGACCAGGAGGTCACCGGTTCGAGCCGTGGAAATAGCCTCTTGCAGAAATGCGCTACGTACTATAGACCCTTGTGGTCCGGCCCTTCCTTGGATCCCGTGCAAAGGGGAGCTTAGTATACCGGACTGCCCTTTAAACTCTCGTGTCTTACCCCACCCGGCCTGTATCTATTTATTTTTAAATAATGGTAATGTAGGAACAGATTGTGCGCACCTGGATAATTTCACTAGTATATATACATTCCACCAATACAGTTACCACTTAGGCATATTGAAAGAAATCACCTAGCATATTATGCCTCCGATTGAACTTGCTTTCCCATGATTTTTCCCTTTTTATTAAAGGTGAGGTGAGACCGTTGGCTGCCCCCAACCCGGTTTCTCTTTCCGTCACATGCTGTGCCTCCCTGCCATATGTTGTCTAAATATAAAAAATAACTGTAAATATCCTTTCTTAAGTTGTTTTCCGGCCTAATCCTGAGGCTTGATGTGATCATACTGCCTACTCAAAAATGGGAGATATGCTATAAGTTGTTCTCTGATTTCATCCTGATCATGCTTAAATAGAAGTTCTTTTTCGCTCAAACTAAAGCTCGTTGGAGCTTCTATTCTGTGGGGGAGCTATGTATGGTGAAGGGGTTTAATTGAACCTCCTTCGCCGGAAAATCGTACTATATGTATAAGTAAAACAAAAAAGCATGTAAAGATAACTTGTCAAATCCCCTTATGTAAAGAAATTTTTTAGTGTAGTTCTTTTGAATCCTTGTTAGAATTTCTGGCTCCGCCGCTGCTTCTATTGATCAGTCAGCCCTGGGTTTTCATCTTGATCATGACTAATTGATGAATAAGTTAAGATTTGCTGTTTGACTTCAACTTCCTCCAAGAAAGAAAATCTTTTCAAATAACAAGCACATACATCTTGTGATTGTTCTATTCAATTAAGGATGCTCTTTATTCAACATCGTGTTCTCCGAGCCCCAATGAGTGGTCATAACATTCCATTTAGTGGGCCTTTCACCTAGTTTCCAGTGTAAAATGCTCGATCAGGAATTTTATAAGTGCTAAACGATCTGCTAACTTTTATGCTTTCCTTATGCAAATATACTCCACCAATCTTTCAGACTTTTCTTGCTAAGTATCAAATGCTTCAAACATGAAATATAATGCCATAGGCTTCTCCGTTCTCATCATTGTCTCAAGTTTGTATAGTTCACTCGGTTCATTCACTAATGCTTCTGTTGGTTGTGATTTTTCAGGATCCCTGTTATAGGGGGGAAACCGCTGGATTTGCATCGCCTCTTTGTCGAGGTAACTACTCGTGGTGGTATCGCAAAGGTAATAGAGCTTGATATAACTCATTGTCTTCAAACTTTTGGTGCTCTAACGCCTTGGATTAATTGAGTTGAAATCTTGGTTGAATCTGTAGCTGTTTTGCTCTTCTTACAAGTTGGATTTTTCAAATGAAATTGCAGGTTCTTGGGGAAAAAAGATGGAAAGAAGTAACAACAGTTTTTAGCTTTCCTTCTTCAGCCACGAATGCTTCATTTATCCTCCGGAAGTATTATATTTCATTGATCTATCACTACGAAAGAGTCTACTATTTCAAGGCGAAGCACTGGACCCCTTCTCCTGGTTTGTGTAAAGTCTTGCATTAATTACTTAGTTGCGTCGAGGCTTTTCTCAATTATAAAACATAGATATCCTGCAGACGTGTTGCAGCAAGTTTCACATGCTGCAGCTCCACCACATGGCTTGGCCGGATATGTGCTTCCGTCACCAGAAATAGAAGCTGCCACGCCCAAGTTGCAGATGGTAGAAACAACATTTCCTGAAGGTTGCTTACTTGTCCTTGCACTTGTTTTCACTCTTTTTTGTCTTTGCATTCTGGTAATTTTGGCCATTCCTGGGGTTTGTAACTGACAAGAAATTCATATTTTACGGCTTAAAAACATGTTGGTAAGAGTTATTCCGAATCTTTATGTCATCGTCCATCATTCATGTCTTTCAGAAACCTTTTAATCCATGTATATAGAAATTTCTGACGTCCTTTTTCGAGATCATCAAGATATGCTCCTCAGGAGAAAAAGGAAAAAAGTGGCTAGTTCCAAGAATTTGGTTAGGCTTAAATGTCTTATATATAAACTTCTGTAAGTTTTAAACAAAATCTATTTAGATGGAATTTCAATTTTCAGATAGCATAAAGTAGAACCTATGTAGCGCGGACTCTCCAAAATGTAGCCGCACCCGTGTTGGATCCTTAGAAAATGCACTGCTTTTGGAGGATCCGACGCGTATCCGGCCACATTTTCGGAGAGTCCGAGCAACATAGAGTAGAACTTTCTCAAAAGATAGCATAGCGTAGAATAATCCATTTTGGGAGTGAGGTACTCAATCTTTGGACTTAGTTATTCGGTAAACATCATCAACTGAGCTTGTTTCTTCTCCTAAATACTTGCCTTATATGCTATCGCAATTCGTAACATATAGGTAATCTACCGTTTGTTATGGCAGTGACTATCTTCTCAGTCAATTTCCACAATACTATCGTCAATATAGACGATGAAGTCTATGAGATGTATGGAGTGAAGGGATATGATCAATTCTAAGAAGAAAGCCATTGCCATTATGAAGCGGATTTAGAATGCAAATGTTTTCTTCTAAATGTATAGAAACTCTGTGCTAGTCAAACTAAAATCTATTGAAGTTTCAAATTAGAAGGAACAAGTTTTGTTACAATTACTGGATCAAGAAACAAGAATTACTAAAACTGTTGACAAATTTGAATATATCCTGACTAACAAATCTAAAGATGATTGGCGCAAGAGCCAGGGGATGGGGGTAGGTAGGAACGTGGGAGTCTCAAAAACTTTGTATCTACAGATTCACATGATTAGATGAGCGGTCATATATATTGATAATTCTGTTTCATATTGAAGTAAAAATATCTTGAGAATGCTTTTAACTGTTCGATGGGATTGGAAGCTCGATAAAGTTCCTACTATAGCTAACAAATAATGTGTATAATCTCCACAATGGACGTAGGCTTTATATATAAATGATACGAATAGCAACGAGTACATAGTTTTTGTACATGTCCTTGTGGCGGTGTGCTGTTGGTTCATGAGTTATTAGATCTTATATTGCAGGTGAATTGCCAAAAAAGCTGAAAAGTATTAAAGGTTGTGGTAACCGAATTGGGGCCCTTTTTTGTGTCTATCTGTTTGAGTGGTTCTTTACTATTTGATTATATACAGATATTTGGAAATGAAGTTCCTGTTGTTAAAGTGATGAAATATTAAGATCGAAATATTTCTTTTGTGCTTGCAGAAACTGCAGCACCATCGACAGGTTCGCCAGTGTGTGGGGTCATCGATGGGAAATTTGAGAGTGGATATCTTATTACAGTGAAGATTGGTTCTGAAGATTTTAAAGGTGTTCTATATCAGGTTCCGACGAACACAATGCATCAAGAGTTGCAAAATCAGAATCTACCTGTTTATAACGCGGGGAAAGCAGCATCGGCAACTGGAGTAGTTCGAAGAAAACGTAGGAAGAAATGTGAAATTAAGAAGCGCGATCCTGCACATCCTAAGCCTAACAGAAGTGGTTATAACTTTTTCTTCGCAGAGCAACACGCCAGGCTGAAACCTCTCTATCCTGGGAAGGATAGGGAGATTAGTCGGATGATAGGTGAATTGTGGAACAACCTAAACGTACCCGAGAAAATGGTAAGAACCAAATGATATACTCCATAATTTATATACGGAAAAAGCCCAAATTTACCCCTCTATTATACGAAATATCTCTTTACCCTCCGTTGTACTTTGGGCCATTCATTCTCTTGCCATTGACAAATTGTCTCGTATACGTCCTTGATTATGACCTAGCTCCAGCATGGACTAAGTGGATTCAACGTATCAAAATACTTTGGGGATGTGGTTCTAATATGACCCTCTACATTTAGTTATGAATGGCACCCAAGTATATAACTGAGAGTAAAATTAATTCGTACAGTGCAAGGTCATATATTACCCTTTTTCCCATTTATACATTTCAAGATGTATGCTTGTTCGTGTTTGTTTCATGCTAACGACTTCCTATGGTTATATTCTGTTGAGTTCAGATTTATCAGGAGAGAGCCTTGCAAGACAAAGAACGATACAGATTGGAGATGGAAGACTATCGCGAGAGATTAAAAACAGGGCAAGTCGTTAATAATCCGCTGCAAATACAACTTCCCATTGAACACAACGTCGATATGATTGATGTGCAGAGTGAACTACCAAGTGAAAACGGAAACATTTCTTGGAGTCCGGAGTACAGACCAAGTTCCGATAAATGTGCGCAAAGCAACTTGGAGAACAACAAAGGCACAAACCCGAATTTAGATGCGAAGGCTCCAAAGGCAACCAACAACGTGGGCGTGGAAGCATTGGGCGATGAAGAGGAATTCGAGTTGCTTAAGAGAGTCGACATGGTTGAATGTGAGGATAAAGAAATGCAGGAAGAAGAAGAAGAAGATGAAGCTGATAAACAAAAAGAACTTCAACATAGTAAGGAGAAAGTTTTGTTTTTCCTAGAAGATAAAAATTTATTACCAACTGTGGAGAAAATATAACATGGCATAACTCAAGTTAGTTAACTTCCTAGAGATAACACCCTATCTTAACTATAGTTACCTTTTGACTTAGTGATTATTTGTTGTTCAATTGTCAAGTTTTTAGCATAGTTGGGACACAATTTGGAAGCATGAACCATTTTGATGTAAAGATAACTGTCTTTTGTTCTTCAAGTGCTCTATGCATGGTTAAAAATAGGAGACTAATAGCCTGTTTGGCCGAGCTTCTCCACAGCCAAAAAAGTGCTTTTTTAACAAAGTTGAGGTGTTTGGCCAAGCTTCTAGGAAGAAAAAAAGTACTTTCGATTAGAAACAGAAGTAGTTTTTGATAAGAAAAAAAAAAAATACTTAGAAGCAGTTTCTAAAAGCTTGGCCAAACAGTAGTTGCTGCTCAAAAGTGCTTATCAAATTGATTAGCCAGGGACAAACTGCTTTAAACCAACTTTTAGGAAAAAAAATATTTTTCAAAATAAGTTGATTTTAGAAGCTTGGCCAAACATGTTATAACACTTGAAAATATCTTTTTTTGGCCTTGAGGACATGAATTTGGTGTTAAAGTTTCATTTATCTATGTTATTATTATTTTTTCATCCATTCATCTATTTTCTCTAGTTGTCTTAAAAATGTGCATTATGAAAGTTTTTCCCATGTCTCCCAACTAGAGGCGGACCTACACTATAGGTTTGAGGGGTCATCGGCACTCGAAAATTTCGACAAAAAATCTATATATACTTACAATTGCCCCCCGTACTAATCTTTATGAGCAATGACTATAGATTGAGGGGTCACCGGCATTTGAAAACTTCGGCAAAAACTTTATATATATACAATTAAATGTCTCTCGTATCAATCTTTTTGAGCAGTAATAAATTTGTATTGAATGTTACCCCGCGACCGTGGAATCCTGAATCCGCTTCTGCTCCTAACCTCACAATGGGTTTTTTTTCTTTCTATTTTCCTAATGGCTTTTTTATTGTGATATCATCGTGATAGGAAATTTTAGTAATTATTCTATGTTATAAAAATACCAACCAAACCCAATCTTTTTTTCAGTTTATAGTAACTACTGATGTTGATGTCATTTGCTTGTGCATTTCGACATTGATTTAATTAAAGTTCTTCTTAACTTTCGAAAGCTTTGTTTAATTATATTAACAATTTGTCAACTATTTTCTTTTGAATAATTAAAAGACTTTTCTTATTTAGCTTAACCAACAAGTTTGTACATTGTCAAAGCTATTTTCTTGAGTCTTAGTGATAGTGTAAGAGCCATTACTCAAATGACATATTTGATTTTAAATAATTTATTTGGCCTTAATAGTCTTAGTGATTCTATAATAAAGAAAAGTCAAAAGTCTTATGACCAAGGAAAGGGAAAAAAAAAAGAGTTTAAATTGCACTCTACTATTAGAAAATGATAAAGTCAACCCCTTGAGATGGGTTAAAAAAACAATAAGTATTTGACTTCGATTTTTATACTTTTATTTAAATAACAAAAATTCCTAAGTAAACAAATTTAGCACACAATGATAATGATGAACAAGTTATAAGTTGGAACATCATGACTCATGACAATCCTACAACAAATTAAACACTTTAATTTCTCTTTCAACGCATGAAATTTATTCTTAATAATATTCTAAGTATTAAGATTCGTGCCGCGTAAGGTTCATTAAAGGGGACTCAGAAATTTTTTCATTTTTAGGACTCAAACTCAATTCCTCGAGTTTAGGATAGAGGGATCTTATTCCTCCCACCACAAACCCCGATGGTCGATCGTAGTTTTGCGCTCTTGCTTTTACATTACCTTCTATTATAGTAGTAAAAGGAAAATGAGGGGTGTAATTATTTGCTCCAAGATGAATATGCACAAGTATGTTTTAACTTGTTGATATCGGCTATTTTAACTTGAAAGTTGAAAGGTTTAAATTACACAGTAACGTAGGTAAATGATAATTGTTAGTAACTTATATAGTCTAGCTAAGAGAGCAAAAATACTTAATTTGAAATATAATATAACCTTAGACAATAGGTTAATGAGATCAATCAAAGCTTGTATTTGTGATGTTATGCAATTTCTTTTATGGTATGTTAATGACATACTGACCTAGCAAATCATTTATAATAATTGATGGACGTATATGTATGGACGGAGCTAGGGTCGGAAAGAGTTCATCCGAATCCCCTTTGTCGAAATTGGTTCTAATTATTTTCCTCCCACCTATATATTAGTAAAAAAAAATTTAAAAACTTGAAGTAAACCTAGTGGTCAATGGAATATAGGAGATCCCTGAGATCTCATATTTAGACCCCCGTGGAAGTAAAAAATACTAGGTGATTTCTTTATATTTGTTCAAGCCTTGATGGTATAGAGTTACCTGGTAGATGTACCGGTGGATTTTGCAGCGTCCATAATGCAACCTCCAAAAAAGCTAAAAATATTTTATCAAGAACATCAAACCTCATAGTTTCTTAACAAAGCGTATAAAGTTTCTCCTCGTATAATTGAATCTTTTTTTTTTAAGTGTTCGAACCAGTTTAAAATGCCTATTTTCAACTTGACGTGAGAAAAATTGCAACTTATAGTACTTTTTGCATAGTATTTTCGTATCTAAATTTAACTTTCTTAAAATATTGAGTTAATTTAATCTAATTTAACTTCAAATATTAGTTAAACTGATTCTCAAAAAGCGAAAAGTATCACATAAATTGAAACCAATATAGTATTATTATAATATTAAACTTTAAATCCTAAATTCGTCTGTACTTTACAACCAACATTAACATCTAAAAGCACCGGGCTGATAAATCACACACAAAACAAACATAGAATCATTAAAAACAAGAAATTACATGATTAAAAAAAATGTTGCTGAACACCCTCTTGAACAACATGTACAGAAATCCAATCAGTGTCACTAAATCTTCCAAAAAAAAAAAAAAAAAAGAGAAACAACTATGTATGCTTTTGATCTTGAAATATAATGTTGGTCAAAATGAAAAAAAAAATGAAAAAAAAAATACATCTGTTGAATGTCAAGATGAATCAGAAACCAAAAGTGCATCCCAAATCATGTCCATATCCAAAGATGGCATTCTACTTAATTGAACACCATCAATATTATTTTCTAATAATAACTTTTCTTGATTAATATTCTTCACCTTTTTCTCAGAATTTTCCATTTCTTGATTCTGAGTAATCACATTCTTGATTCTTGAATCATCAACCAATAGTACTTGTTTAGATTCATGATCATTAGTCTTCTTTGTTTGTGATGAAATTGCTCGAATTTTCGCCTCGAGTAGGGCTGCTGTATTACCATTTATAGAATTTGCCTTTAATTGATTCTTCAAATGTGGGAAATTTAAATGTGCATAATCTCCTCTTAAAATATAAGCAGCAGTATCATAAGCAATAGCAGCTTCTTCAGCAGTATCAAATGTACCTAACCAAACTCTTGTCCTGTTTCTTGGCAACCTTATTTCTGCTACCCATTTTCCCCAATGTCTTTGTCTTACTCCTCTAAATAACTTCCCTTGAGACGTCGCGATCAAAGAAGAAGAAGAAGAAGACGACTTTTGATTACCTTGATTATAATGTAGTGATGATTTTCTTGATCCTGTTGTGATTTTCATTGGCTGAGTTTTTGTAGTACTAAGCCAATAGTCACTAAAACCTTTTGTGGTAGTACAATTTGTTAATGTTTGATTCATTTTCAGCCAATTTGTTGTACTTGTTGTAGCTGCAGCCTGTTGCTGCTGATGAATTTGGCTTTCATCTAGTGAAGACATTGGAAATATGGCAGCTGATGTCCTGACCAAAAAAGAAAAACAAACATTTTGAGAGCTTGAACATATAGTCAAACCTCTTTATAACAGTATTCTTTGTCCCGACATTTACTTGGTCACTATAGTGAAATGGTATTACAGAGAACATATAATATAAGATAACATGAAAAATCAGTTCCAGAAAAACTTGGTCATTATAGTAAAATGTTGTTATAAGAGATGATTGTTATAGAGCGATTTGACTGTATATCATAATCACACCTAACTTATGCAATCTCTTCTTTTGTTAATGACTGTTAAATGTACTAAACGCTGTTTGATATAATGAAGGGGAGCCTTGGCGTATCTGGTAAAGTTGTTGCCACGTGACCACGAGGTCATGGGTTCGAGCCATGGAAACAGCCTGTTGCAAAAAATGCAGGGTAAAGCTGCGTACAATAGACCCTTGTGGTCCGGCTCTTCGGTGGATCCCCCGAATAGCCGGAACTAGATGCACTGGACTGCCCTTTTATAATTGACATTATATAGCAGTAAAATATATACACACTACCAAAAAGATTGAGGAATAAAGGAGAAATTAGTGAAGAAAATGGAAATAAAGAAGAATTAGTGTCATACTTGTGGCTCTTGTTGTTTAGAGATTCTTCTGCTCTTTTTGAAATCTCTAAAATGGTAGGCTCCTTAAGAAACAATCCTAAAGTTGGGTAATTACTTGATAATGAAGTTGGTGAAGAACATGTTTGATGATCAGACACTTGATTATGATGATGAAATGATTCAAGAAAATTATTCAAAGGGATAATACTATTATTATTCCCTTGATCATTTTGAAGGAAATTAAGAGGAAAAAACTCAGAGAATTTTGTTGAATCTGAACTTGAAACCAATATTTCTTTCATATTGGGAAAAGAAGTTAAAGAGCTCTCATCATTTAGACCTTCCAAAATGTGAGGATTCTTGAAATATCTTGATAATGATTCTATGGCTACTTCTTTATAACAAGTTGGCAATTCTTTTTGCATGTAGGATTCTGATTTAGGAGACTGATTCTCCATTAGAAATCCAATAAAGGTGTGATAGATAGATTGGTATGGGGAGAAGAGGAAATGAGAGATAGAATTAAATGATACAAAATGTAGACATTGTGGTATATATATTAATTTGCAAGCAAGATTATACTATGTACTAAAGGCACTTTAAAGGGTTAATAGAAACATAGGACCACCAACGAGGAGTACGGTGGGATGGATTAAGTCCTTTTACTTATAACCAGAGGCATCGGTTCGAGCCCCAGAAACGAAAAAAACTCCTTATAGAAAGTGCTTCTCTCTTTAGTAGACAATACGCGTTGCAAATTCGGATTAGTAAACCAGTGTAAATTCGAATTAGTCAGACCAGTATGTTCCGAACGCATAATAGGGCATTTAACAAGGAGTATGGTGGGATGAATTAAATCCCTTTAATCTTAACTAGAAGCTTAGGTTCGAACCCCGGAAACAGAGAAACCTCTAGTAGACAATACACGCTGTAAATTTGAATTAGTCGGATCAGTATTAAATTCAGATTAATCAGACCAGTATGTTCCGAATGCATAATAGGACCATCAACAAGGGGTGTCGTGAGATAGATTAAATCCCTCCACTCTTACTAAATATTTCGATTTCGAGCCTTGAAAATGAAGAAACCCCTAGTAGCAAGTGCGCTTCCCCTTCACTGGGCTCTACATGATGCATTTTCAAATTCGTCAGATCAGTACGAATTTGAATTAGTCAGATCAGTAGGTTTTGAAATGCATAAATATAAAATAAAATAAAAATAGGTTTCAAAATCTAGATCTGTTACATTTGTGATTTGGCTTGAAGAGCTCATACAAACATCATTCGTGCATCCCATTCTCAAATATTCTGTCTGATAAACCAATCCAAATGTGACAGCTCATGAGTTGTAGTGTTACCTGTCTTCTAAGGTTTAACAGGAGGGATGCATATTCTTCCATGATAGTGACTGCATAAAAGAACCTCAAAAACCCTTTTACTTTAATTTACTTTATTGTTTTGGCATTATTTCTTGGTTTTATTAGCAAATGATCATGTGATTTTCATTAACAAGCACATGACCAATTTCTCTTTTCACTTTTCTTTTGAGTACCAAAATAGTATCTAAACTTTCTCTTTTTAACAAGAATGATGCTTCTCTTCAAGTTTGGGAGTCTTGGAGCAACGAACAAGTTGTCTTCGTATGGCCTATAAATCATGGGTTTGAATTATGGAATAAGCCACTAATACTTGCATCGGGATACGTTGCATGCATTACACCATTTGCGGTGCAACCAGAGGCGGACCTATGTATATATTAGAGGGGTCACCGGACCCCGTTAACCTCGGCACAAATTCTGAATATATATGTGTATATATATTAAAAACGATCATATTTTTTGCTTGGAACCTTTAAAATCGAAAGTCTGAGGGGCATTGATTGAGCAGTCCAGTCATGTGCCCCCTTCACCTTCAAATTCTGTGTCAGTCTCTGGGTGCAGGCTTTTCGCGAATCCTGTATAAACGCAGTGTACTTTGTGCACCGGGTTGCCTTTTGATGCTTCTCTTCTAGTATTACTTTTATAGTTTCCTTTAACCTATATTTTAACTTAGTAACTAACCATAGGTTAATTAGGCATGTATCTTCTAGTTATTGTCTTTTGACTCATAATTATGTACCTTGACAAAGATTAGCCTAATCATTACCTCCAAATTATAGGTACATCTCCAGCAGAGCTCGAAGATTAATTTAATATAATTAAGGACTAATCAATATTATCATCAAAATTATAATGGTCCAAAAAAGGCATAATTAATGAAAGGCCATTTTAAGAAAATATAAGGTTTAGTTTTTCTGCATAAGTAGTAGGAGGAAATCATGGCTGTCTTTATAGATCTAATACTAAAGAAATAATTCAAACTTGGGCATCTTTGTACGTGTCTTTTGAGAATAGTATTGAGACACTTTACAAACTCCTCAAATTTCAGTCCAAATAAGAAACAAAAAGGTTAGTATTATTAGTTTTATATATATAGGGGTCATCATTCCTTTTGAATTACCAACCATATACCTAAAATTAAATATTGAAAAAATGACACCGTATAATTGCTCTAAAAATTAGCCGATAAAATGTATATTTTTTGTATATATATATATATATATATATATGTTATATACAAAAATTATACAAATTTATAATTTTTTCGATTACCGAATATAAATAGTTTCTGGCGCGGGCTAAAAGTGAAAAAAAAAAAACCTTAATTATTTTAGCTCCAAATGATTAGTAATCACTTATACTATTGGTAGTGTATGTTATATAATTTGCTTTCACTCATAATCTACCTCTTTTAAACTCCCTTTTCTTCCTAAAGTAAATTGTTAGCATTTAGTTATACTATTTATTTTTTGAAATATTTTGAATTTTTATTTCAAGGTCTTTTCTCCTCCTTATTATTTTGGTTGGTCGGAAAGAGAAGGCTTTCTTCGTTGAAATAAATCGTCGAGGTTTTCTTTATTCCGCCTCTTAAGATTCGTTATCTCTATTATTTGATTGTTCATATATCGGCTTACTTTGATATCCCATGTATCGGGGTCTCCGAGACTCATTCCGGCTGAAATAAGGGACGGTTCTTTACCAACTTCTGAATATTTGTTATATTTTAGAAAAGCCAAAAAAGGTGTGTACCTAGCGCTAAAGGTTAAGAAAGTGAATGTATATTACAATTCCATTCTTACTAAAAATAATTAGATAAACTTAACAATTACAAAATGAAAATCAAATGGCATTATACATAAATAGGCCATTAAACTTGGCCTCTGCTGGTTATGCCCTCCAACTTTAGGTGTGCACAAATAGGTACCTCAATTTGTTTTTACTTTATCAGTTGAACATTCCAACTTACAAAATAATCATCTAGACACCTCCAAAATGTATATGCCACGTCAGTGCCACATCAGCATTTGTGTATGTATGTTCAACTTTATATAAATTTAGATGTTTACTTGTGCACACCCAAAGTTAAAGGGTGTACTTGTCAGCTGAGATCAAATTTGAGGGCTTGTTCATGTATTATGCCAAAACAATTGATAGTGAGAGAGAGAGAGAGATTCAAATGAAGTTATTATTCTAAAAAAGAGCAAGTTTTCCTTTTTCTTTTTTGGTAGTTTTGCTTTGGCCTTGTCATCTGGTAAATGTTATTTTAATAAATGAAGCACATGGTATTGTCCAATTATAGAAATTTTTGATTGTCATTAATTAATAATAATCAAGAAGAATGAGTAAATTAGAGGTCATGAACAAAGAGCAGCAGACACGAAGCGATGTTTTCTTTAAAGTTGCTTTTCCTTTTCTTAGGTTTTCATTTAACTTTTTTTATCACACACTTTTTTTAGAGTTTAAGTTCTATAGACCACCAACAACAACAATAACGACCGAGTGAAATCTCGCTAGTGGGGTTTGCGGAGGGTAGTGTGTACGCAGACTTTATCCCTATTCCGAGGGGTAGAGAGACTGTTTCCGAAAGACCTTCGGCTCAAGAAGACGAAAAGAGGCAATATATCAGTACTATCAATAAAAATCATAGAGAAAAAAATAACAGCATCACATGAAACAGAAAATAGATGGAAAGCAAAATAATAACCAGTAGATAAAGCCCGACACTAAGAGGAGATAAAGTAGTGAGAACTCAACACTAATCACTAGCAATGTAAGACTAAATCCTAACAGTCTGGCCTCACTTTGGTGCGCCGTAGAAATATGCACAACTACCTCCTAACCTACAACCTTAATACTTAACCTCCACAATTTCTGTCTAGGACCATGTCCTCGATAATTAAATTCTATACACCAACAATTTAAAATATTTTTATACAACTAGTTATTCATCAGGTAACATATAACTTTTTATCATAAATATTAAATATTAATCGGTGATCTAATAAAAGTAACTACCCTACCACTAGGAGCGTAGCCACACTCTGGCAAAGGTGGTCAATTGATCATTCTTTATCGAAAAATTACACTGTATGTATAGGTAAAATATTAGGTTTTAAAAGTATATAACATATATTAAAAACTTTTTGTCGGGAATTTTTTTTTCTTTCTTTTTAGTTTTTTTTGGAAGAAATTCCTGACTTCGCCACTGCTTACTATAATATAAGATAAATTACATTGATGTGAATAATCTTTATATTGCAAGCGTATATAACTTAAATTATTTTCTTTATTCCTCAGAATACACAACAAGACAGATCAGAATAAACAACAGCCTTGTACTGTACAATAACCACTGCTTTTGGATTTACATTACATAAATAAATAAAAAGAAAGGGCTCTTGGAGAGATCAGACATGTGGAATAGTGGAAGTAGCTTAGCTTGGCCAAGCAGTAAAATGACAAATCATGTGCACATCAGAGACAAAATTAGGCAAACAAAAAAAGACAAACAATTTAATAAGCCTTCAATACTGTCATCGAATGATAATAATACCTTTAAAAAATTAATAATAAAATAAACGGAAGGGCAATTTAGTGTACTAAGTTCTCGCTGTGCAGTAAGAGGAGGCGAAGGATCGGATCACATTGATCAATCTATGGTATACAGATATACCTTATTATTTTGTAAGAGGCTCGACTTAAATTCGTAATCTTCTAATCAAACGACAACAACTCTTACCGTTGCGCCAAGATTGCCCTCCTATATAGTAATAAGCTTTCATACGGTCATCAAATGATGATGATGATAATTAAAAAATTAATAATAAAACTAATAGAAGAGCAGTTTGGTGCACTAAACTCTCGTTATGCAGCAAGGTTTGAAGAAGGGTCAAATCATATTGATATCCGTTGTAAACAGCCTTACCTTATGTTTTGTAAGAGGCTTCACGACTTAGATTCGTGATCGTCTAATCCAGAGGCGGATCCAGGATTTTGGTAGGATGGGTGCACTATTAAGAAGAGGTGGATCCAAGATAGAAACTTTTTACGAGTTCAACCTTTAGTTCTTACTATTGCACATCCATTACAGTTTTGGAATTATAAGTTTTTTTTTTTTTTTAAATAGTAGTAATTTTCTTACATCTATATCTATTTTCCATGTTGAAAATATTGGGATTAGTTGAACCCATTGATTATATGTTACATCATACATTGCTACTAGT